AGAGATGGATAGACCACTCCTGGGGAGCACACAAATCCCCAAGATAATGACCCATGCCCCTTTCCACCTGCTGGGATAAGAACAGTGATCCACTTCTTTCCCCTAAGCTTTGGATTCTTTCTCCCTAGCCACTTTCCTCCCAATCTGATCTCCTGGGCTGAGAAGAGACAGGGAAGTTTGGTTTTGCTTTCATGTCAAGTGAGCCCTTTCTATCATGCTTTCTAGTCTGTAATTCATTATTTTATTGTCAAATAACTGGAGTTAGGCTAATCTTCTGGTTTTCCACGACCTCTCTGGCCCTTAAGTTTGAACAAAGAAAACGCCACCAGGTGGACTTGCTACAAAAATGTAGATACATTTCATTTTCCTCATCTCTAAATTGGATGCAAATGGCCAAATTTGCAGCTAAGTGGCTGTAAGAAAGAACAAGCAAGCCACTTGTAAGCACTCTGGACTTCTTCCTCTTGCACTATCCAGAGAGCCCAGCACTGCTACTGCATGGATAAAATCATACAGTCTCTCATGAGAAATTTCTTTTTAGACCACTAACATTTTATGACTTCTGGCATGTTGATTGAGTTCCTCCAGACTCAGTTGCTTGCCTTTGCAAAATGGAACAAATAATACTGTTTAGTTACTGGCATCAGAGGAACAACTCCTCCAAAAGAGAAGAGCACCAGGCACATTTACGTTTTCATATTATTTTTATTTCTCATATTGAATTGCTCCAACTATAGGCAAAGCTTTTAAAAAAAAAATCAAGTGGGGAAATTGGCAAAGATGGGTGCACAAATCATTATGCTTCTTTGTGGCATACATCATGACTGCATTTTGATGTCAAAGATACACAATTTTCATCAGTATTCTTTTTTAATGTGTGGAATCTTTTCCCTGAGGTTCCCGGATTCAAGAGGCTGAATGGACGGGAATTCTGGTGTCTCCAGAGAAGAGCTTGCTTCTTCTCCCAGGCGGCCCAGCCCTATGCAACAGCACTTGTTGAGATTCAACTTTGTGGAGAGGCACCCAGGACTGAGAGTATCTGGGAGCGTGAGAGCTGCGTCAGGATTTCAGGAAGTGGAAAGTGTACGTGCCTGGAGAGAGACACACATCCCTGCTACAGAAGAAGGCTGAGGTTGTAAAATATGCCCCGGAAAAGAAGAGAGAGGATGTTACTCCTTCACTCTGTCACTGCTCTGAACGGGAAGACATCGATCCCGCCATCCTGCACATTCAGCATTCCACTCACAAATGCTCCTCCCTGGAGAACCTCTCTAGTTCAGTTAATCAAACATTTCAGAAACCATTCCCTCCCCCAGCCCAACTGGGAGGACTTACCAGTTTTGATGTGAAAGGTATTGATTCAGGACCTCCTGATGGCTCCCTGCTAAACCATTGATTTTTATTAAATGCCCTGGCCCCCCAGTGCGTTTGGCAGGTCCCAGAATTCTGTTCTCTTGTGTTCCTTTCCATTTTCTTCATTGTAAGCCCCTCCTCCGTCAAATAAACCCAAAGTTGGGTTTAAGACCTTCCTGGAAGATGATTCTATAGCCTCCCTTTCTAGACCTTCACAACCGTCACTCTCATTCAAATGAGAGAATCGCTAAAGGGCTCCTTGTCCTTGCCCCCCAGCAGACCCTCATAAATCCACAGTGAGTTTTTTTTTAATTAAAGCGTCCAAATAATTAATGATCAACTCCATTTGTGCCATTGAAAACCCAAATGTCACACGGTTGAAAAGACCCAACCAAATAATTCAGTGTACCCTATAAAGCTTTAAAAAAAAAGCAGAGCCCAAGAGGCCTGCATGACTGGCTTCTGTGCTGTCTGAAAGGCTTGGTTGGGTTTGGGGCACTTGATTGGATTCCAGGAATAATGTGCCCTGAGCACAAAGCGCTCTTGTGATGTTTCTGTGCCATAGCTCCTCCTCCTTCCCTCCTCACTTTACCTGGGGTACACATTCTGCTTGTCTCCCAAGTTGGAAAAAATAACCCATGGAAGAGAGGAAAAATCAGCAGAGGGAAAATCAAGGGTAGGGGAGTGGGGGAGAAATTCCCTGGTTCTTAGTCTGAGCTTGGTTACTAATGTCTGGTAATTCCAGCAGAACAGAGCTGGAGGCTGTACAGTGTCTGTGACCAGACACTGGAAAAACGTACTGAAAAGATGCCTCTTCTTTGAATGTGGTCCCTTGAGCTATGAGTAATGAGTGATTCTCCCAGCGAGGACTTGGGACTTTCAAAGAGTCAGAAGGATGGCAGAGAACCAACCCTGGAAATCAGCAAGGATTTGCATGCCGAATTTAGGCAGAGAATCTCATAGATAATAAGCCCAGCCTGTTAATCTTCCATGGGTGCTAGAATATTCAGGAAAGATGGGAAGAAAGAAGGCAACTATAGGCCTCATTGTATAACCATTGAATCTAGGAGACATGGAACAGGGGTCTAGCGCCACTAGTGGGGAATTCCTGTGACTTAGTGGTAATAGCAGTTACTTGAGGTCCTTCTAGGCTAACTTAAATAGGTTGTTTTATCTTTTTAGTCTTGTTTTCCTTATCTACAAAAAAGATGAACTTATTGTACCATCATCAACTCTGAGCTTCTATTTCACAAATCCATTGCCACTCTCAGATTTAGGGGCTTAAGACCTCCTTATTTAGATCTTTGAAAATTTATTTTAATAATTTTTCTAGATATCTGTTTAGAGATTTTATACATTCACTTTAAAGTTTTAATGTTTTGATTCTAATAAAAATGGTGTAATTTTTTATTTTTAATTGTTGTGCTATAAAATGATGCAATGGATATTGTTTATTTAATTTGTGTATAATAGCCTCACCCCACTCACTAATTCTAAAAATTTTTCTATAAGAACATCAGCATTCAGCTGTTGAGATAACAGGGAAGATATTTGATACCTGCTTTTAGAGTTCTTGGGTTGAAAGTAACAGAAGTGATTCTGGCTAACTTAGACATAAAGTAGAATCCATTTTAAAGCTACAGAATAGTACTGTGGGTCACAGAAAAAGATAAACTGTCGAACTCAAACAAGAACAGGACCCAGCATAGCATGAGGGGACAAACCAATAGCCTCAGTGAGGGTAATGTTTGGACTTCCCTTGGTGTCACTCCTATTAAACTCAAATTCTCAAAGAGAAGGTCTTGGAGAAGGTCTTGCCCCTATTTAAGGTCAGCCTTTGGTCATGTTCCCAGTTGATTGAGAGGCCCACCAAAACCACATGAAACATTGGAAAAGTGGTTCCCCACAGGAAATTCAATTTGCTGTTACACAAGGGAGAACTAATGTCATAGAGGCAAAAACACACGTGGCGACCACGTATGGTATCTAATTAGATGTTCCTGTCCCTCACCCATCTTATCAGGTATACAGTTTGGCTCTTAGAATTTTGGTGGCAGCAGCGGTGTTAGGGAACAATGTGATCTCAGACAGCCCTCTCTTCCTAGTTAGCCACCAAAAGCACTTGTTATTCATTTATACATGAAGTAGATCCTTTGTCGGGCTTTCTTCCCTGGGCTTTGTCCCACCTCCCTTTTCTCCATTAATATGCACTGCATTGTTGAAATAGGTTTCCTTATTAACCAAACACATCTGTGTTCTATCTTGCTGTCTTGCCTCTACCTTCTGTCTCTTTCTAAGGGTGGTGTTGTGTTTACTTTGCTGTGGTTGCTTTGGAATAAGAGACCTGGTATTTATCCTGACACAGTCAGTAGGCTGAACTGCTGACTCTAGACTTGAGCACACAGACTGAATAAAAGATGTTTGTGGGTTTCTTAGGTGTTTTTAATCCATAAGAAAATGCATCAGGGTCATCGTGATCCATTTTCTTAAGGAGAGAATTATAGTGAAAATGAAGTGAGGTTAAAAGACCCTTATCTTTGCCATCACTCATCTCCACCTTTATTTATTACCCTCTCTGGTTTTCATTAGATGCTGACAACCAGAGCTATAGACATTTTCATCCACACTCCAACTGCTGCCCTGATTCCAGTTCCAAGTTATGAAACCTAATCCAAACCTTAGAGGGGAAGCTACAAACTATAACTTCAAATTTCAGTTTACAGAGTCCCTTAGGATGGTTCCAGGAATTGAGTAGGGAAGGGTCTTGGGAATTAGAAATTAAGCTACTACCTCCTTCTTTCCTCAAACGAATCTGAGGGCATTTGAAACACAACTCATAAAAAACCATTTGCACAACATCCCAACTAGAAGCATTGCAGGAGGACATCCGCCTCCTGGCAACCATTGCTAACTAATCACAGACAGAAGGAGGTGTCTCCTATTCTTCAAAATCACTTGAAGAACATTTCACAATCCCCCTTGGGTCACCTGTTTCAAAATATAAAAACTGGATGCCAGGAAAATCTTCCTCATATTTAAACACCAATTCTTTCTTCAATTCGGGCAATTTGGATAATTAAAGTATAACATTTCAGAACTGGAAGAGGCTCTAAATACCATTTAGTCTGGAAGTTACCACTGCTGACCCAGAGATTGAGACATATTTGACTAAGGCCACAGAAAGTTTAGTTTTTGAATTTTTGCATTAGCTGCCAATATTTAGGAATTGAGATAGCTCCTACTCAGAAAACCATAAGGTTGACATTTCTAGAAAACTCAAAAAAAAAATCTGGAAACAGGACAACCCCTATTCCCATGTGAGCTCTCAGAGTTGGGTGCTACTTTGTAGGTGGGGATTGCAAGGGAAAAGAAATTCCCCAGTCTGTCACAGAATTCAAGTTCTGCTTAGTCCATCTGCCCTAAATGACTAGCTCCTATCAACATCCAAGTTTGCGAGCCCTTAACATTTGCTGACATGAAACCTGAGAACCAGAAAAACAATCTGATTAGGATGACCTACTGAGGAGTGGAAAGAACTAGAACCCAGGACTCCCTCCTCCTGGTCCAGGGATTTTCTATGCTAACCACCTATGCTGACCTGGGGCAGTGGCTAGTGAGGAGGTGACATAATCAAACTCAAAACTTACCATTTTCCTAAGTCTGTAATTTTCTGCGGTTCTTGGGTCAGCTGAGCAGTCTGTTGATAGAGGTTTCCTCTGTGGAGCATAAAGAAAGATGATTAGTTGACAGCCAGTAAACACAAAGGCACTTCAAAAGTTTGTGAAGGAGCAGGCACTTAGCCTAGTAACTAAGACACTAGCACCCCACATTGAGTACCTGGGTTTGATTCCCAGTTCAGGCGTGATTGTAGCTTCCTATCAGTGTAGACCATGGGAGGGAATGCTGACAGCTCAAGTAATTAGGTTCCTGCCACACACTTAGGGGATCTCGATTGTATTGCCAGCTCCTGGCTCCAACCCTGGCCCACCACCAGCCATGGGAATTTCTCTCTCTCTCTCTCACTCTTAATTTTTTAAATGCTTTTAAGTTCATGGAAAAAAAAAACCCAGAATTAAAAAATGTTTATTTTGAGGCAAAAAATGTTTTCAAATTTATTCAGTTTTTTAATAATATGTATTTCCCATGAACTTTTAATAGGTAACCTTGTAGCAAAGGAAAGATTTAGTGGGAACCAGGTCTACTCTCACACTGAAAGGTGAGTGTGCGTTGCTTGAGAGGTGAATCTCAGTGCTTTTAATTGGGTGGTGGGCACAGGGCAATGTGCCCATATTGAACTCTGTAGTCAAGTCCAGTCCAGAGCAGACAAATAGGGGACTGATACAGACTATGAAGGAATGGGGGAAGTCTGTCTACCAAGAAAATTAAAAAGAAAAAAGCATTTAGATCTAAGCTTACGTTTACAAAAGTCTGTTAAAACCAGAGTTCAATTTGACAATAATAAAAGTTGAATAGTATATTTCTCAGAAAATTTCTCATATTAGTCCTTTGGCACTATTTCAATGCAATATAGAACAGTCTTTGAGACTCTGAAGCGGGGGGTTACCAGTGGCTAGAATTAAAACTGTTAACTCTCTCACTACAACAAAACATGGGTTCAACAGCAAGGCAGCCATTTGCAGCCTCAAAGTGCCTCATCACTGCCTATCAACGATGTGCTCAGGTTCAGAATAGGCTAATTATCTGTGCTCAACAGCAGCGGAAGGACCATGTGCATCAGGCAAGACCACCAATTGTGTCAGTAAGGCTAGACCAACCCTTTAAATGGTTTCTGGCTGTTAATATGTCTCAGGGTAGGGTTCAGTGAACAAAGGGGTCTTTGGATTTCCTCGCTGCAGTTCTTCCCTTCCAGCCAATAAGGGCCAGGGAGAAAGTCCTTCCTAAGACACAGACATGACTTGAGCTCCAGGCTGTTGGATTTAGTTAGAGTGTAAGGAAGTCTGAGTCACTCCATTTCCACCAAACAGATACCCATGCTTGGTGTTCATGTAGGGAGTAGATTTTACAAGTTAGAAAGTTTTACGAAAAGACGTAGCCAAGAGATCTTTCTCATGGCCAACTTGTTTTTAATAAGCCTGGTGGCCTTTATGGGTTACAAAACAAATTGGTTACCATCCTTTCCCTCCAGACCTCACCAGCAGGGAGACTACTTTTACCAGTTGACTTCCCACCTTCCTGTCTCAAACTTGCTCCTTACGGAGAACAGAAATAAGAGGAGAAAACATATGGAGGGGCCCATATCCAGTGCCCAGTGGCATTAATAAAATCATACACTGCTGGCTGGTTTTCCATCTTGGTCTTGACAGGATGTTTGGAAGGTTTGTTAGATGGAGAATTTCTGTCTTCTGTTGCTGTTGAAACGTTTTAGAAATAAACAAAAGGGACCTCATTTCAGAAAGCACAGATATAAAACAGGGATGACACTGCAGATCAGTGGGAAGAAATGTGCTGAGATAATCAGTTGCTAATATGCAAAAAGATCTTTCTAGTTAGATTTCTGTATCATCCTTTATAGAAAATTGTATTTAATGTTGATTAAATACATAGATTGAAAATAAAACCTTGGGCTGGCGCCGTGGCTTGCTCACTTGGTTAATCCTCCGCCTGTGGCGCCAAAATCCCATATGGGTGCCGGGTTCTAGTCCCGGTTGCTCCTCTTCCAGTCCAGCTCTCTGCTGTGGCCCGGGAAGGCAGTGGAGGATGGCCCAAGTGCTTGGTCCCTGCACCTGCATGGGAGACCAGGAGGAAGCACCTGGCTCCTGGCTTTGAATCGGCTCAGCTCTGGCAGTAGCAGCCATCTGGGGGGTGAACCAACAGAAGGAAGACCTTTCTCTCTGTCTCTCTCTCTCTCACTAACTCTATCTCTAAAAAAAGAAAGAAAATAAAACCTAAAAACTTTTAGATGGAATCATACCATATCCTTAAAAATCATAAAGCAGGGAAGTACTTTTTAAAACCATGGCACAGAAAAATATAAAAAGCAACAACTTTAAAGAGGATTGGTGAAATCATCTACATTAAAATAAGTATAAAACTTATATACAACAAACAGTATTATTTAAAATTGAGAAGTATAAGCAATGGGCTAGCAGAAGAAATTCACAAAGATATAACTACCCAAAGATTAGCTTCAGAATATATACAGGAATCCAAAAATTAATAAGAGAAAAACAATTAGCAAAAGATCTAATATGCATATAATTGGAGTCCTAAAAGAAAAGCAGAACAATATGAAGGGGAAAAGAATTTTTGATGAAATAATAATCAAAAAGTTTCTCAAATTTGGTGAAACACAAATTCAAGGGCTCAGCAAACCTCAGCCATAAATTTGATAAATTCAAAGAAAGCCTAGACACAATGTAATAAAACTGCTGGAAACTATTAATGTAGAAAAAAGTCTTTAAAGCAGTTAAGAGAAATGATGTATTATGTACAAGAAAACAGTTCACATGGCAGTGGGTTCTCATCAGGAACCAAGGAGGTGGGAAGACAGTAGAACAACAACTTTGAAGTGCTGAAAATAGAAAGAAAAGCTATCAACCCAGAACTTTATGCCTAGCAAAAATGTTCTTTAGGAATGAAGGTAAAACAAAAATACTTCTGGAGAAATAAAATTTAAGCATTCATTGTTAGCAGTACTGCATCACACACACACAGAAAAAGAGTGCTGAAGGAATATTTTTAGGCTGAAAGAACAAGATTCTAGAGTAAAATTTGCATTTTCAGGAAATAACAGTGACGAAAATTATAAATTTCTGTCACATAAGCCATGATTTCACCAGAAAAGTAATATTTATATGAGGATACTCCAAAAGGTTCATGCAAAAATGGAATTGAAAGGTAAGTTTATTTTAGCACAAAAAATATTTTGATATTGTATACCCTAGGGATTTTCAGAAAGTTCATGGAAATTCATATTATAAAAAATCTGCACATGGATTTCAAAATGTTTTTCATCAAAATAAATTTTAGTTTTAATTCCATCTTTCCATGAACTTCATGAAGTACTATGTGTGTGCACACAGAGATAGAGGCAGAAAGAGAAAGAGGGAGGATTATTACAAAAACTATTGGCTTATATGTGACTGTGGTTTCTGCTAGGGCACATAAGCAAAAGGGGAGGAATGAATGGGCTGAAACTCCCATGGCTTTGGAACCTCTGAGCTCAGAGAAAGTGTAAGCCTCACACAGGAGAATCTCCATTTTGACAAATTTAAAGTCAAACAGTAACCACTGGGGACTTGATCCACACAGGAATTCCTTCACAGTGCAGGTAGATCAGCATGTGACTGAGTAACGGGAACGGTAGCTCAGCCCAGCCAAGTTGACACAACCAAAACCATCACATCCGAGTGAAACAAAACATCACTTTCTTTCCTCTTAAGCTCTTTAAAATAGCTATAACTGCTAGTGCTAAATGCTTTGATATTGTGAGGATTTTAGTGTGCTGAAATGTTATACATATGACAACTAATACAGAAGATGGTCGCTGTAATGTAAGGGAACCTACAGGCTTGGAGTTTGGCCTTGCATGAGTGATAATATTAACCCTTAGAAGGCTATGAAGGTAAAATAGATGATGATGATATACATAGGTGATAGACAGATATAACAACTATCAAAATATACACTATAATATGTAGCTTTAAGTCAATATAAATTAAAATAAAATACTAAAAATATTCAAATATGCCAAAATAAGGCAGGAAAAGCAATAGTTACATAATAAAAATAGTTACATAATAAAAAAGCAATAGTTACATAATAAAAATAGTTACATAATAAAAAAGTAGGCTTAACTTCAACCATATAGGTAATTGCATTAAATGTTAATAGCCTAAGCATTAAAAAGGAGAGATTGTCAAAGTAAATAAAAAAGCAAGATTCAAGTATGTTGCCTACATGAGACAAAGTTTAAATATAAAGAAATGGCCGGCGCCGCGGCTCACTAGGCTAATCCTCCGCCTAGCGGCGCCGGCACACCGGGTTCTAGTCCCGGTCGGGGCGCCGGATTCTGTCCCGGTTGCCCCTCTTCCAGGCCAGCCCTCTGCTGTGGCCAGGGAGTGCAGTGGAGAATGGCCCAGGTGCTTGGGCCCTGCACCCCACGGGAGACCAGGAAAAGCACCTGGCTCCTGGCTCCTGCCATCGGATCAGCGCGGTGCGCCGGCCGCAGCGCGCCAGCCGCGGCGGCCATTGGAGGGTGAACCAACGGCAAAAGGAAGACCTTTCTCTCTGTCTCTCTCTCTCACTGTCCACTCTGCCTGTCAAAAAATAAAAAAAAAATTAAAAAAAAATAAAAATAAATAAAAATAAATATAAAGATTCATATAATTCGGAAAAAATCGATGAATATAAAGATACACCATGCAAACAATAATAAGATTGGAATGACCTTATTACTATCAGATAAAAATTATTTGCCTGGAAGACAATAATTACAAATGTGTTTTGTCTAATGACAGAGCCTTATGAATCTACACTTTGTAGGATTAGGGAAAAATTGGTAATTCCACAATCATAGATTTTAGTTCTCCTCTCTCAACAACAAATAGAACCAGAAAGAATATAAGTAAAACATAAAGGACTATCAACCATCTCAATCTAATCAACACTGGTGACTTCTACATCCAGCAAGTACAAAATATGCATTCTATTAAAGCTTACACAGCCCATTCCCCAAGACAGACTCTACACTGGG